AACCCACCACCTTAGGTGTACGTGGCCGGCGCCTTAGCCGCTTGAGCTACAGGCACCGAGCCAGTCTACTACCATATTAAATATGCTTTAGAAAGTTAAGTTAAAGGTTATAATAAAACCTAATTACCATCTGAGTAGGGTCCCAGTAAATTAATAAGAAGATTCTTTAACACTTCAGAAGTTGCAAAGTCTGTTTGATCCTGCAATTCCTCTTCTAGGTGTATATCCAAAGGACCAAAAATCATTTGGCAATAAAGATATTTGCACCAGATTGTTCACTGCAGCTCAATTCATAATTGCCAAGTCATAGAAGAAACCCAAGTGCCCATCGACCCATGAATGGGTTAATAAATTGTGGTATATGTATACCATGGAACACTATGCAGTATTAAAAAAAATGGAGACTTTACCTCTTTTATGTTTACATAGATGGAGCTGGAAAATATTCTTCTCAGTAAAGTATTTCAGGAATGGAAAAAAAATATCCAATGTACTCAGTACTACTGTGAAACCAATTTATAATCACTCACACTTGCATAAGAAAAATGAAACACAACTGGCCTAGGATGAAGGAGAGAAAGGGAGGGAGAGGGGCAGGAAGGAGGGTGGGTGGATAGAGGGTGGGTTAGTAGGGGGACCACATCTATGAAGCATATTGCAAGTACAAGCTGGATCTATCAGGTGTAGAACACAAATGTCTTAATGCTATAACTGGGTAAATGAGGTGAAGGCTATGTTGATTAATAGGATGTAAGCACTCCAATTGGTACAAATAATCAACACATTGAATCCCATAATGGCATAAATGTATTTATGAGCTATGTACAAATAATAAAAAAAAAAGTTGCAAAGTCAAATTTCACCAGTTTTTCAACCATGATCTATCCCATACCCAACTTTAGATGTAAACTTAACTAGTACTGAGAAGTGCCTTTAGAAAAACTATACAGCAAAATGTCAAAATACTATGATTCTTCATCTAACAAACATTACATGTTTATTCTCTGTCCTCTGTCTTTTAACCTGGAGATGTACAGGTATAAAATGTGGTTTATGCCCTTAAAGGTGCTTACAGACTACCAAGGAAAAACACACAGAAATAAGTGCAATGAAAAGTAACACAGGGCAGTGTCCATAGCTCAGTGGGTAGGGTGCCAGCCACATATACGAAGGTTGGTGGGTTTGAACCCGGCTGGGCCAGCTAAACAACAATGACAACTACAACAAAAAAATAGCTGGGCATTGTGGCGGACACCTATAGTCCCAGCTACTTGGGAGGCTGAGGCAAGAGAACTGCTTAAGCCCAAGAGTTAGAGGTTGCTGTGAGCTGTGACACCACAGCACTCTAACAAGGGTGACATAGTGAGACTGTCTCAAAAAAAAAAAAAAAGAAAAAGAAAAGTAACACAGGTGCTCATCTCTAGGTGGAGTGTGTTTAAAACATCTCTATAACAACTGGGCATGATAGCTCATGCCAATAGTCCCAGCTACTTAGGAGGCTGAGGCAGGAAGATTTCTTGAGCCCAAGAGTTCAAGGCTGCAGTGAGCCATGATCATACCACGGTACATCACAGACACAGTAAGCACTTTTCTCTTAAAAAAAAAAAAATTACAATTTCAAAAAGAGCTTTCACTAATGCATACCTGTGTAAAGTCTTATAGAAGAACAAAAAATGCATAAAGTCCCAAAGTTATTATTTTTCCTCATAAATCACCTCCCAAACCAACTCTTCCCAAAGTCTTCCATCTATTGTATTTGTGCTACTCTGAAGAATACAGAAAACAGCCAGGTGTACTGGCTCATGCCTGTAATCCTAGCATGTAGGAGGACAAGATAGAAGGATTACTTGAGACTAGAAGTTTGAGACCAGCCTGAGCAAATATTAAGACCCTGACTTTACAAAAAAACAGAGAAATTACCCAGGTGTTATCTTAAATATTGTTATTGTTATTAAATTTTAAGGCTTTTTAATTTTGTGAAGGCAAAAAATGGAAACCTAATAAGCACATGTATATGTAAAAAAAAAATAAAAATAAAATACCCAGGTGTGGTGGTGTATGCATATGGTCCCAACTATTTGGGAGGCTGAGGCAAGAGAATCACTTGCGTCTGGGAGTTCGAGGTTATAGGGAGCTATAATAATGCCACTGCACTTTAGCCCAGGGAACAGAAAAAAGACCCTATCTCAAAAAAAAAAAAAAAAAAAAAAAAAAAACCCGGCAGCACCTGTATCTTGGTGTGTAGGGCCATATACACCAAGGCTGGTAGGTCCAAACCCAGCTAGGACCAGCTAAACAACAATGACAACTGCAACAACAACAAAAAACAGGCATTGTGGTAGGCGCCTGTAGTCCTAGCTACTTGGGAGACTGAGGCAAGAGAATTGTTTAAGTCCAAAAATTTGAGGTTGCTTTGAGCTGTGATGCCATTGCACTCTACTGAGGACGACACAGAGAGACTCTGTCTCAAAAGAAGAAAAAAAAATCCCCAAAGAGAAATAAATTATTTTTTCTCTATAACTTCCTCTCATTCAGCACCAATAACTTAAGCTAGTACTGTACTCTCAGTCTTTCTCATTTTGATGTAGTAATCCTTGTATTCTTTTTAACTTTAAATAAGGACAAATGAATGTCGTTTCTTCAAGGAGCTGGATTCTCTATTCCATCAAAGCTAAGAGGAATTATGAACTTAAAGAGCACTCTCTAGTGGGTTAGAAACACAGATATAACATTTTATCAATATTTCTAAAATTATTTCAAAAAACGTATAACTTTACTGAAATAAGTACAGACAGAACATACATTTTAGGCGGCAGTTTTTCCATTAAAGAGTCTTCTTTAATATATCCATCTATTGAGTAGTAGCCTTGTCTCATATTTATAGCAGCAGCAACCTTAGGACAAAATATGATTTTAAAAAAGACAAAGTCATTCATTAAACTGTTTATCTAGAATCTAAACAATTATTTAGTATACCATTCATAGATAAAATTAATGATAACCCTTAAAACCCTGAAATCTCCTTTAAGTCAAGGAAAAAATTGTGCTTATATGATTTTTTGTTTGTTTGTTTGTTTTTTGAGACCAGAGTCTCAAGCTATTGCCCTTGGGTTGAGTGCCATGGTGTCACGGCTCACAGTAACCTCCAACTCTTGGGCTTGAGTGATCCTCTTGCCTCAGTATTTTTCCATTTTAGTAGAGACAGGGTCTCGCTTTTGCTCAGGTTGGTCTCGAATTTGTGAGCTCAAGCTATCCACCCTAGTGGCTAGGATTACAGGCATGAGCCACCACGCTCGGCCCTTACATGCTGTTTTTACCCAATTTTTATTTCTGAAAGAAATCAGTAATTTGGCCACTATTAGTTAATTAATGAAAACATTTTATTCTACTATAATTTTATTTTGTTTTTATATATTTTTGCAGTTTTTGGCCGGGGTTGGGTTTGAACCCATCACCTCCATATATGGGGCCAGTGCCCTAGTCCTTTGAGCCACAAGCGCCACCCTACTATAATTTTAAAGGAAACACTTGCAACAATATTTTAAAATTTTACTATACAAATTTTTAGTAATATCTTAAGATATGTTCAAAACTCTAAAATACTTAGTAATAAACTTAACAAGAAAAATACAAGCCCTACATAAAGAAACTTAAAACAATTTATCAGAGGTCTAAAACAAGAACCAAATAAAAGATAGTCATGCTGGGTTCCTGGAGATAAAGACTAAATATTATCCTAAAATCTATTGAACATAAAATTAATACAATTATTGGCTGGGCATGATGGCTCACACCTATAATCCTAGTACTCTGGGAGGCTGAGGCAAGTGGATTGCTTGCACTCAGGAATTTGAGACCAGCCTGAGCAAGAGCAAGACCCCATCTCTAAAAAAAAAATTTGCTGGACACTGGTTGGTGCCTGTAGTCCCAGCTACTGAGGAGACTGAGACAAGAGGATTGCTTAAGATAGGGTGACCAGACATCCCGTTTTTGGCGAGACAGTCCTGCTTTTTAACAATTTGTCCCACGGCATTTTTAAAAAGTCCCAATTTTTGGAAAGAATGCATGAACAGGCAGGAGAACAGAAAGGGAATATACGGTTTTCGGCTGCCATGTAGCTATTTCGCCAGAATATGAGTTTTATATTATTTTTGTTAATTTTATGTTAAACTGTAATAATAACAAATAATTGTTGAGAAGTGATTATTGAGAACTGCTTATCAAAGTTTGCATTGTTGTCAGGCCCTGCCCTGCCCCGTCCCCCGGCCATGTTGTCCCACTTTACAAATGTTAAAATCTGGTCAGCCTAGCTTAAGACTAAGAGTTTGAGGTTGCTATAAACTATGATGCCATGGCACTCTACCCAGGGTGACAAAGTGATACACTCATCTCCAAAAAAAAATGTATACAATTCTAAAGCTCATATGGGAAAATGTATAAGAATCACAAAAATTTTAACCATACAATTCATTAGAAATTTATCCTACTGATTAATAAGATTGTTATAAAACTACTGTAATCAAAACACTATGATATTGGCATAATAAATCAGCAGAACAAAACCTTGGAACAGATCTACATATCTATGGAAACTTAATATAAAGTACAAGAGACATTTCAGTCAAATAGAGGAAGGATTATTCAATAAATTGTGTGGGAAAGTCAGCTAATCATCCTGAGGAATAAAGTTATACACCTTAAGTTATAAAGTTATATTGCATAAAAAATAATACAATTAAACATAAACCTTTTTTAAAAAGTAATAAAAGTATTGAAGTAATATGTAACTTTGAAATAGGAAGGTCTGCCTAATCAAAATAAAAACAAACAAAAAAATCCTAGAAACTGGCTCGGCGCCTATAGCTCAACCGGCTAAGGCGCTAGCCACGTACACCTAAGGTGGCGGGTTCGAATCCCCAGCCCGACCCGCCAAACAACAATGACGGCTGCAACCAAAAAATAGCCGGGCGCTGTGGCGGGCGCCTGTGGTCCCAGCTACTTGGGAGGCGGAGGCAGGAGACTCGCTTGAGCCCAGGAGTTGGAGGTTGCTGTGAGCTGTGATGCCATGGCACTCTACCCAGGGGGATAGCTTGAGGCTCTGTCTCAAAAAAAAAAAAAATCCTAGAAACTAAGAAGGAGGGGAAGAATGTGAATATTGTTACTTGTCAATTACCTGGGCTAATAGCAGGGGGGTGTAGGACAAGGAGGAAGATAGGACAAGTCACTTATCTCCAAAAGTAAGAGTTAGAACAAAAATTAGGCAAAATGATACAAAATAGTTTATCACAACCCCAAAAGCAAAACCAGTATTTGTAAACACATTATAAACACTCCTACAGATGTTATCCAATATCCTAAAAAAAGATATAAGTATGATTTAAGACTGTTTAATATGAACTCACTTGCCAAAAAAGGCAAAAAGTTAAAATAAACTGTTATTGTGGGGTTTTTTTGAATATTAGAATAAGATGGCTGTAAACAGAGGCATTTCCAGCTCCCTGCTCACTCCCTTTCCCTGTACTTATTCCTCACCCACAAGACTGAATTTGTCAGGGGTTTACCACAATCACCATACGAAGGGAGCTCTCTGTCTTAACCAGGTGACCAGCAGCATCTCAGAAGCCCATGTCAAAAAAAGGAGAGGGGACAGGAATTTCCCACAATCAGGAGCATGGATAGCATAATTTCAAAAAATAGCTTCCCACATGTAAATATTTCTTCTACAATTTAAACCTTACAAATTACAGCGTATGTATTTTTTACCACATTTAATCAAAAATATCAGTCAATCCGCACCTAAATAATGAAAGGTTACTTTAGTAGCCTGGAAGTACATAGATTAACTTCCACATGATTCAGATTTGATTCTTACAATCCTGTGAAATAAGACAAAGCAGGTATTACATCCATCTCACAAATGAGGAAACAGAACAAGAATTGGTGTTCTAGATGCTATGCAACATTGCCACAGAGAACAACTGATACAAATCCTTGTCATCTCATCTCTCCACTGGAACCTTAAGAATTTACAGAGATTAAGACAACTTTCCATGAACACACTATATAAACTGAACTACTGAACTATTTGTATTTGTAGTAAATGTATAGCAGGTAAAGTAAATTTCACTTTACATCTGAAATTTGTTCTTATTCCTAATGGGCTGATAAAACCGCAGTCCTAATGGAACTGCTTTTAGTGCTTCTTCAGAAATACTTGAGTAAATAATCAGTTTTAGGCAGTAGTTGTACATATGCCTTTTTATGGTATGACATCTCTACAAATCTAAATTTGATGACAAAGGTTGAAGGGCCAGAAGAGTTCAAAATTTGTTTGCATGGTACTGGTGTGGAAAAGGGTGGGGGGAGGGTTTTAAAACGAATACACTCCATTAAAATAAACAAAAAGAGGTAATTTCTCACAGAAGTCTCCACAGAATGAAAATACGCAGGCTGATTAATTTATGACTTTATCCATTTTTTCTTGATATCTCTGAATAATGATAGTATATTATAATTATACATAATTATGAATAATTATTAAAAAAACATTTTTACCTTTAACATTAGGCTGTAATATGTTTAATATAAAAAAATTATAAAACTTACCTCACAATCAGGGCATGTAATTGTGCTGTATTCTTCAGTTACTAACAAGCACAGTTCACAAAAAGCATGTCCACACTGAAGTTCATGGTAATGACCTATTGATGAAATTCTACTGTGAATCAAACTTTCTATAGTTTGTTAAATGCTGAATGGGCAATACTGATCAAAGGGGGAACTCAAAGGGGATTCCACTACACAGGAAAAGATACCTACTTTAGCTTGAAATAGGTGACTTACTAAACAAAATTCAGGAGAAACTATTTAGAAGAAGGGAGAACAAACAATTCTGTAATCACATGGTATATGTGAATTTGCCATATCTTACTTATACACGTATAAAGTGCTCTGACATATTTCATTTGATCTTTGTAATATTACAATTAAGTAGGCTGGGGATATCATATCCATCACAGAGATGAAAAAATATTTTGATAATTTGGCTAACTAAATGGTATAATCCAGGTTTCAATTTAGTTCTAAAGTCTAATGTTCCTTTTCTTTTTTTCAAGACAGAGTCTCACTCTGTTTCGGAGGCTAGAGTGCTGTGGCATCATTCTAGCTCACAGCAACCTTAAACTCTTGGGCTGGAGAGATCCTCCTGCCTCAGCCTTCTAAGTAGCTGGGACTTCAGGGACTTGTATGTCAGGCTAGTTTTTCTATTTCTAGTAGAGACAGTCTCCCTGTTGCTCAAATTGGTCTTGAACGTCTGAGCTCAAGCAATTCTGTTTTGGCCTCACAGAGTGCTAGAATTACAGGCATGAGATACTGTTCGGGACCTCTAAAGCTTTCTTCAAAAATAAAATTAATACAATTATAATTCAGCAAGAATGCTATAATTATTTCACTAGAAAAAACTTTTAAAATGACAGCCTTCTGTAGTCCCAGCTACTCGGGAGGCTAAGGCAAAAGAATCACCTAAGCCCAAGAGCTGGAGGTTGCTATATGCTGTGACACCATGGCACTCTACCTAGGGCGACAAAGTGGGCAACTAAAAAATAAAAAAAATAAATAAATAAAATGACAACCTTTTAGCTGGATGCAATGACTCACACCTATAATCCTAGCACTCTTGAGAGGCAAAGGCGAGTGGACTGTTTGAGCTAGGGAGTTGGAGATCAGCCTGAGCAAGAGCTAGAACCCCCTCTCTACTAAAAATAAAAAAACTAGTGATGCATTGTGGGTGCCTTGTAGTCCCCCCTACTTGGGAGCATGAGGCAAGAGGATCAGGAGTTCAGGAGTTTGAGGTTGCTGTGAGTTATGACAACGCAGCACTCTACCCAGGGGAACCGAGTGAAACTGTCTTAAAAAAAAAAAAAAAAGGACAATTTTTTGAAATTATATATTACAATTTTCCCAGCCAAATGAAAGACCTTAAGTTTCTGCTTACAACGATGCTAAATCTGAAAGCCCTATTTAACTTCCAGATACTACATATTAAGAAATTAAAACTCTTAACTTTTTATAAAATTTCTGATACTGCACAAATCAAAATAACCTGTGGTGCATTACGGCTTACAAAGCACTTTTAATTCTATACACATACCACAGTTTTTCCAATTAGATATTTCTATTGGAAATACACATGTATGGAAGAATGACTGATTTTAAAAGGTTGTGCACTAGAAATTTATTATGTAATTGTTGTATCATTCAAAAATGGAGATTTTCTATGTAACAACAGCAGTGATCTAAACCCCAAGTAGGAGAAAGTGAGCTCTTTACCAAAAACACAACTTTCTCTGCAAAAGCTCACATCTCAGAGATGGAGTTCATCTTGAAAAGACTAAGAAACTGATCGAATGACCTTCACTTTGAAAGCATTAAATACTGAACAATTACATCGGGTAAATCATAAGAACTTTTAGTATCCCTAGAGATTAAACAATTCATCCCTGTCACTGACACTACACTCTCAAGGTATTTTAAGCTACATTAAAATAACTGTGTTCAATTGTGTAGACTAAATTAGCAGAACAAGAAAGTATTTTTCCCTCCATGTATTAAGACCAAAAACACCACCGCAGATAAGAACTATCGTTTTCCAACAGTGCATTAACTTTATTTCATAGGTTTTTTAAAAAAAAAAGCTTTTTAAAAGTCCAGGAACATTTCATAGTTACTCCTACAACAAAAACTACACAAGAAAATCAAGTTTCACTCCTTCTTGACTACAAAACAATGGGCTAAATTTCTACATCCACTTTCGTGAACCAGCCAACCCAGAGACGTGTGCCCAACGACTCTCCAGAGGGAAAGTGCCCGGACCCCCTCCCACGGGACGGTCGGTGAAAGCCAAGGTAGGGTCCGGAAGCTACCCTGACCTAACCCTGCGCAATCCTCTCGAGGATGAGCTGCAGCTGCTGGAAGGTCCGAGAAGCGGTTTCCACGGACACCCTGCTGGGGGAGGGGGACACAGCTCTCGAAGCCCCGCGCCCGTTCCCTGGGTCACAGCCGGGCCAGGCCTCGCTCCAGGCCACCTCCCACGCCAGAGGGCCGCTACTCCCGGTGGGGGCGGAGCAACGGTTGGGCCCTCACCTGATGCTCTGGACACCCTTCTTCCACACCGACTGCACTGGATCTCGGCGGGACCCCGAGGCCGACTCTTCCTCCCTATCTTCCGGTAGAAAGACAAGGCCAGCTGAGCCGTCGAGGCCTCCGCCGCCATCGCTGCCTCCCTCCTCCAGCGCCACAGCCGCGTGCCAGTCATCGCGTGCCGGCCCTCAAGACAATGACCAATCCTTGGCGCCCAAGGCTGAGCTTGGCCAATCAGTGGGCCAGGAGATTATAGCCCGCCCAGAGCTCCCCGTGCAGGGCGCACGCCTCCTGGGCGTTGAGGTGGTTTTGAGTTTCCCCTCTAGCCCACATATTTATTTCTATCGGGGATACCTTGTAGTCGTGAAGTGTTGTTTATTTTTCAGCTCTTTGCCCTCTGTAGCACTTTTGGACAACACAAATTCAGATTCTGTGTATTATTACCTACTTTGGGGGTGACTTCACAAGTGCCAAACACCCCTTTACTGAAGCAATTCCCCTTCCCTGTTATGTGTGGGGGCCAGAAGCCTAAACCCGAGTGCAGGGCCATAAGAGCTTAGCTGGCCGAAGGTGTCCTGGGGCGGCAGCTGCTGCTGCGTTCAAAGTAACCGCTGTTGAGCCTAACGATATGCAAGGCACTGGGCTGGGGAGTGGTTGGGGACGCTAAGAATATAAAAACAGGATTCTGCTGTAGAGCCGCGCAGTCCCTCACCTTAAAAAGAGGTAACTTCCGCTAAGGTAGCTTGTTGTAAGTGCCACACGCATATTAGAGACAGTAAGAATTACCGCGTTCTGAAGAGATGAAGTCTGTGTTGTCTACATTGGTATGGAGAAAGCCTTCCTAGAGGATGCTGGGTTTACACAAAATCTGCAAACCTAGGTAGCACGCGCACTTTCAGGAGCAAGTGGGAAACAAAGCATTCCAGGGAGGAAGAACACATAATCAAGGGAACGCAGGTAGGAGACCCAGCGGTTTCTATATAATTTAACTTATAAACCATTTAGCTAAAGTATGGGTTCCCTTAAAGTGAGCTTTCTGGAGAGGTATGTTAGGGAAGAATTTTATGGAGTCTTACATGTCGGCCCAAGGTCTTGACCCTTTAAGCAGTAGAGTGCCGAAGGTTTGCAAGCAAGGAATGAAATAATAACTTGGTAGCAATGTGGCAAGTGTATTTTGGGAGAAGCGCTTCTGGCAAGGTTGCTTTCTGCTGCTAAGATTAAAAGTCTCTCTATAGTCTTCATTTTCTCTTTTTTCTCTACATTGTGTATATGTGAAGTAGAAACAAGTATTTTTTTCCAAGGCTCAACCCTGCTCAGAAATCTTTCCACTTTGTTGCCTTCAAGAGGAATTACTGATCCCTAAACTATCCCCTATATGCCACTCATCCAGTAGTTTCTACTAATCTATAATGGAACTCAGGGTACTAGTCAAGCCAATATTCCTGTGTAACATGTTAATTCTTCTAGAATTTTGTGAATACTGTTCCTCACTCTCCTTATGTGGAATGCCCAGTCTTCCCTCTTCAATTCAGTCTCCTTGTCCTTTGTCGGTTAACTTTCAAAGCACTTTCTTCCTGAAACTTCTCACCTCTCCCCGTGTTCAATACTACTCTAGCAATCCTCCTTTTCCATTAGGATTGCTGTATTGTAATTTGAATAATAACAATCTCATTGCATAGGAGTTTCTCTTGAGCTAGTGTGGGTGACTCTATGTGAAATAAATAACACCTACTCATTTCCTTGGAACTGAGGGACCTGGGGAGGACCAACACCAGCAAGTATCTTCAGAGGAGATACAAGGGTGCACCCCCTCCCAACAATCCTCACAGGCTTTTATTCAAATCTCAGGGATGAGAAAATACAGCACAGCCGAAAGCTTTAAAGAGAGAGTGAAGGTTAGAAAACAAGTTTATCTTTAACTGTGTGATTGAACTCAGCACATACTGTTACTGCACTTCTGTCTTGTCTTTTTCTTATTACTACTAAATATGACTTAGGGCTGAGACAGAGTAAGCTGTGCCTACTGAGTTTGGTGTTTGTTTGTTTTTGTTTTTGAGGCAGAGTTTCACTATGTTGCCCTCGGTAGAGTGCTGTGGTGTCACAGCTCACAGCAACCTCAAACTCTTGGGTTTAACCCATTCTCTTGCCTCAGCCTCCCAAGTAGCTGGGACTACAGGCACCGGCCACAACGCCCAGCTAGTTTTTGTTGCAGTTGTCATTGTTCATTTTAGCTGGCCCAGGTTGAGTTCCAACCCACCAGGCTTGGTGTATGTAGCTGACGCCCTTACCAACTAAGCTACAGGCGCCACTGTGAGTTTTCTTTTTAATACTCAGGGCCAGCAGTGATGCTTGGCTTTTTCTCAGATCACTTTGTGTCTGATGCCTAACACTTTTAACCCTATACTCTATCCCGAATTTCCCCCTTTTTGTTTTTTAGAGCAGATTGAACTTTATTAAAGGGAAGTACAGGAGAGGGGTTTTAATCAGGTTGTTTTTAAAATAACTCAAGTTGGCTCGGCGCCTATAGCTCAACCGGCTAAGGCGCTAGCCACGTACACCTAAGGTGGCGGGTTCGAATCCCCAGCCCGGACCCGCCAAACAACAATGACGGCTGCAACCAAAAAATAGCCGGGCGTTGTG